AAGCGGTCCCGAACCGAGGCACACGGCCAACAGCTCCGAAAAATCAGAAACCGGACTCCAAACTGGCAAAATGGCCTACGACCACGAAACGTAGCCTACGGCCACTGAGAGATGATCTACGAGACCTCTCCCTCCCTTCGGGAAGAGAAAATAGAGAAAAACAGAGCTTGGTTCGCAAACCGAGGCAAAACATGAAAGAGTCCGGAAGTCCGGAGGCAAGGCTCGCAGCCAAGACTCTGAAACCTCTGAACGAGCACGATATGCAACATCACCAAGTGCTCAATCGGTGACGTTCAAGTCTTAAGGTCAGTCAAAATTGGGGTGTCTACAGTGGCTATAAATGGTGATATTGGACATGTATTATCTCACCTATGGAAGTTTTGAATAAACTATTTATTTTGATATTGAACATCTCTTTAGAAAATAATTGCATTGGGCTATCAGTGGAGGATAGCTATGATTGTATGAAAATTACACGAGGATTAAGCGATTTAATGCTAATTATTGTTGGTGTCATTGAATATGACATATCATAATACATTGTATATGTATGTTATTTGGGTGGAGAAAAGGGATGTACTCCATATGTGATTATGTTTATAAATACATTTGCATATTTATATTGTTTGGGAGAAGAAAGGGATGGACTCCATTTAAAGCAAGTTGGTCGGAGTGTCCTGGGTGAAAGACCCGAAAATTTATATATAAATGGGTGCTGATTCATTCGGACGAAATTTCGTAAAATGGCATGTTTGAAGTGTTTATGTGTGTTGTGCATAATTGGAAACCATTGAGTTGTAGTTTCATTTTGGTTATTGAAAGATAATGAATTTAACTCATGAATTGAGTAGCATATATGAACTGGAAATGAATTAAAGGAAAATGGACGAGGTTAGTCTTAGTGACATATGAATATGCAGGCCTTATGGATGTTTTAGTATCGGTATTGATTATGCATGTAGTATTTATACCTTTGCTAAACCTTATATATTGTGTTAGATTATCTCTACTGGGCTGTTGGCTCATCCTATATAGGAATACCATTTTCAAGTGCAGGTGAGATGTTTCCTCAAGGCAATAGCGTGGATGGACTTTCAGGAAGCAAGGCTTCTTAATTATGTCTTATTGGTGTTGTATGTTTGTTATTTGTAAAGGTAAAGGCCTAAAGTGTAATGAGCGAGACTCAATTCTGTGTAACAAAGCAATGACTTGGAAAGATGTAAGCCTACATGACATTTAACTGGTTGTTAAACAGTGAACTCTGATATATGAAAGAATGTTGTTTCTTCATATTTATTCTGCATATAAGTTATCTTTATTGTATCATTTGGGGGTGTTACAGAGACGGTGTGACTGCAGCCACAAAATTGGCTCACCGACTGCAGAATAGGACGAGTGAGCTCCATCAGGTCAACGCCCAACTCTCTCTGCTCCAGCGCATGTACAAGGATGCGCGACTAGGATAGACGCAGTGAAGGCCGAAAATAAAGAGCTGAACGGAAGACCACCTCCATTGTCCGATTTTGAGCAATGTCGTTCTTCGCTTTTGATAGTCCGGCGGGAGTGCTCGCTTTCGATGAAAGCAGCGGAGGCAGGAGCGGTGGAAGAGGCGAGCAAGTAAGATCGATCGACTATGGCCGTAAAAAATGAAGGTTTTTTTTAATTTTTTTATTTATGTAAATATGTTTAGTTTGATCGGCGTATGGCCGTAAAAAAAAACGAAAAGGTGTTTTTTTTTTTTTTTTTTAATTTATGTATTGTATGTGTTTTTATGTAAAAATGTTTATTTGGATTTGTTTTTATGTATATATATATATATATATTTTTAGCACGGGAGATGAAATTAAGGGTAGAAAATAAAAAATGAAGCCTAATGGCAAAAAAAAAATAAAAAAATAAAATAATAATAATAAAAATAATGAGAAGAAAAAAGAAAAGAAAAAGGAAATGAAACGATTAGCAAAGCAAAAAAAAAATAAAAAAAAATAAAAGAAATTAAGCTAATAGAAAAAATTAAAAATATAATAATAATAATAATAATCAATGTATGCAAAGTTAAATTAAGCTCAAGATGCAGAAACAAGACACAGTTGTAAATAACAAGCTGTTAAAGATAATAAATGTATGAAGGACTTGACAGTATTCAACTGATAATAAATGTTTCCATATTAATGTAGCAATACACATATATCATTTTAACAAAAATTCAAGTTTCACAGTCATAACAAAACTTTTTAATTAGAAATCGACATTCTAAACTCGCCACGAATAAAATTGAAGCGATCCTTGTTTAGGGATTTTGTGAAATATCTGCCAATTGCTTGTCGGTGTTTACAAATTCAAGTACAATATCCCCTTTTTGAACATGATCTCTTAAAAAAAAGATGTCAAATTTCAATATGTTTTGTTCGTGAGTGTTGAATCGGATTTTCTCTTAAATTGATGGACTTATCTTTTTCATCATATTGTCTAGTTTAATGGATGTGCTCATAGGTGTTCCAGCTATTTTTTGAGTCATACATTACCAAACTTTTGAGTAGTTCTTTTGTGTATTTAGCTTGGTTGATAAAATTCCTTCCTTACATTGTTTGATTTAAAGTCCAAGAAATAATTTAGCTCCTCTATCATGCTTATCTCAAATTCACTTTGCATACACTTAACAATTCTTTACACAAGGTTTCATTAGTAGCACCAAATATAATGTCATCCATATATATTTGCACAATAAGTAAATTATCATTTTTAGTTTTAACAAAAAGTGTTGTGTTAATCGTTCCTCTAGAAAAAATTATTTTCAATAAAAAATTTACTAGTCGTTCATACCATGCACGCGGTGCTTGTTTCAAACCATATAAAGTTTTGATAGTTTAAAAGCATGATTTGGAAAAGTATGATCTTCAAACCTGGGGGTTGTTTAACATAAACTTCCTCATTTATAAAACCATTAAGAAAGGCACTTTTTACATCCATTTGATAAAGTTTAAAATCTCTAAAACATGCAAATGCAAGTAATATGCGAATGGCTTCTAATCGAGCAATCAGAGCAAAGGTTTCATCGAAATCATACATTCTTTTGATTGTATCCTTGTGCAACAAGTCTAGCCTTGTTTCTTATAATTGTGCCGGATTCATCAAGCTTGTTTCGAAAGATCCATTTGGTACCAATAATGGTATTGATCTTTAGGTTTTGGCACAAGTTCCCATACTTTGTTTCTCTCAAATTGGTTAAGCTCTTCGTGCATAGCTATCATCCAATGTTCATTGAATTCGGCTTCTTGAAAGTTTTTAGGCTGAATCTGTGAGATAAAATCCAAGTTACTACAAATGTTTCTAAGTGAAGAGCGAGTTTCAATACATTTTATAGAGTCACTTAGGATTAAATCCTTAGGGTGGTTATGAACAAACTTCCATTCTCTTGGAAAATCATCATTATTTTCTCATTCTTCTTGAGGTGGGAGAATAGGTTGTTCAATCTCTTTGTTTAACTTACACGGTTGGTTCTCTTCTTTGTAGATACTTGAATCTTCCACATTTGGTTCCAAATCTATATTATCACTAAGAGCATCTCCAATGGATGGCTATATCAGCTGCTAAAGCCATAATATAGCAGCTTTGGGCAATCTTGGCTTCTCCAATGGCATGCTATACCAGCTGCCAAATTTGGCAACTGCCAAATCAAGTGCCAAACTTGGCAACTACTTTGGCAGCTGCCAAATCTGCCAAGTCACCCAAAATTAACTGTTTTCTCTCTTCCTTCCTTCCCTCCTTCCCTTTCGGTTGGGATTTTCCAGATTCATCAATATTCATGAATGAACAAGAATGAAAAAATTCATCAATATTCACTAATTTTATTCATCAATATTCATCAAATTCATCAATATTCAACAAGAATGAACAAGAATTCATCAATATTCCAGAATTCATCAAATTCATACCAAAAACAGATTTAAAAAGATTTCATCAAATTCATCTTCATTTATTAAAATATATACGAATTTGTATACGAATTTTTTTTGCTATCTGGGAATGTTTTTTTTGCTACGAATTCATCAATTTTTTATACGAATTCATGAATTTGTTTGATATGAATTCATCAATTTTTTTTGCTACGAATTTCATCAAATTCATCAAAAAAAAATTTTTGCTGCAAATTTGCAGGATTGAAGTTCAAGATAATATAAGGATTGAAAATAATTTGCAGGATTGAAGTTCAAGGCCATAGGTCCAAGGATTGAAAATAATCCAAGAGCAGCGTAGAAGGAGGGTTGAAGGAGCAAGATTAATGAGAGGTAATCTCAAATAATCCAAGAAAAATACCTGATCCGAGGGTTGAAGTTCACTGATCCGAAAAAAATCTTCACTGATCCAAGGGTTGAAAAGGGTTGGAAGTTCATCTTCATTGATCTAAAGCTGATCCGAAGTTCATCTGAAGGTCTCTCCCTCCGATCTTCACCCATCCGAAGCTCTGATCTTCTCTCTGACCTTCCCTCTTCCCTCTGATCTTCACTCATCCGAAGCTCTCTCTCTCTCTCTCTCTCTCAAGTTTCGAAGCTCTCTGTGTCTCTCAAGAGTGGATCTGGAAATTTCCTAAAGTTGAATGAACGTGGGTTTACTTTATTCATGAGTCAATGAACTTGGGTTTACTTTATTCATGAGTGGGTCACTTTATTCATTAAAAAAAAATAAAAATTAAATAAAAACATAATTGAAACATATACCTACAACGGCTATAAAAAAAAGATGAACACAAACCGACTATAAAAACGGCTATAAAAATAAAACGGCTCTTTTTTATGTTAAAACGGCTCTTTTTTTATGTTAAAACAGCTCCTTTTTTTTTCTATAAATACAAACATTTTGTGCTCTCTTTTTACTCAATTTCATTTCACAAGAAATTTTCTAAATTACATTTTTATTTTTATTTATATTTTCTTTACACAATCGGTATGGAAGGTTCATCAAAAATAAAGAGAGGAAAATCATTCACTATTGCTGAAGATATGGCACTTTGTAAAGCTTGGTGTCACATTTCTGAAGATCCAATTGTTGGTAATTCACAATCTTATACTCACTTTTGGGGGAGAATTTGTGAAAATTATTGCTCCCTTCAGAATGATCAGTCAAGAACACAAGTTTCTATCCAATCTCGATGGGGTACAATCATGAAATGTTCTAACAAATTTCGTGGATGTTTAGCGCAAGTCGAAAATCTACACCCAAGTGGGATGTCTCAAGTTGATTTAGTAAGATTTCATTTTTATTTATTACATTAGTTTTTATTTTATTTTATTTCGTCTCATATAAAAATTAAATAATTACTTAATTCAATATTGATACATATTTTATTTTATCTAGTAAGATCTCATATTTTATTTTATTTTATTGATACTTACTTAATTCAATATTGATACAGATGCTTCAAGCAAAACTTTTATACCATCAAGATGAAAAGAAACATTTTGCTTTTGAACATTGTTGGTCAATCTTGCAAAACAATATCAGGTGGCAAGATGTAACTCCTACGAATACGGTGAAGTCAAGGATACATACACCATTTTCCCCTGATTCAGCCCCCGATTCCCCTAGGGATAATTGCATTTCTCTTGAAGATGACACCAGTCCAAGTGTTGGTAATAATCCAACTGTTGGTGAGGGTAGTGTCTCTGCAAGGGGTAAAAGGCCGATGGGTAGGAAATCTGCAAAAGAATTATTTCGAAAAAATCAAGTCGTTCAAGCTGAAGTTCAAAATATGAGCACACAATTGGACACATTTAACCAATACTTTGCTGAGAAGGAAAAGAAAAAAGATGAAAGAGAAGAAAAAAGGATTCAAGCAATGCAGGAGATGAAAGAACTTGAGATGAAAAAACATGACTTCGAGATCAGAAGACAAGAACATGAGATGAAAAAACGTGACTTCGAGATCAGAAGACAAGAACATGAGATGAGAAAGGAAGAACACCAAATAATGACTGCGGACATTTCTCATTTGGACCCTTAGATGAAAGCGTATTACACAATGCGAAAAAATGAGATTTTCGCCAA